TAGGGCATTGGTTATTTGAATTTAAATGGGATTCTAGAAAGAGATAATGTGGAGATTAAGTTGCTATTTTAAAGGAGTGATTTGGATTTGAAAAGGAGATGTATTATCCGAATGTGCATTGGTGTGTTTCAATTGGGTCACTACGAGATATACGTCAAAGGCATCATCTTTGAATATATATATATATATATATATATAATTTACATGAAGATATTACTTGGAGATATTGTGCAAGATATTACTTGGAGATAATTTACATGAGGTGATCAATATGGAGCCAATGTGATAACTAAGCTATTGTGAAGATATTGTGCACGTGGAGATAATGAAGCAAATTTGTTTGATGAGATAAGATAGCATGCATATTACTTGGAGAAGATCGTAGAAAGAATTTGAATAAGCTATCTAGTTGGATTATGAGATTTGTTATAGGGTATGTGATTAACGTGAAAGATGGGTAGTTTTAGAAGATATATAATTGAAGAAGCCTTAAGGTTGCTGTGGGGGTACAGGGGTTATATAGAATACTTTCAGAAAAGAGTCTGTGAGTTTTTGTGAGCCTAGTGCACTATTGAGATCGTCATTCGGGAGAAGGATTTGTTGCTTTCGGGAGGAAGCTTTGTCGGTCGAAGGGAGTTCGCCTTACAATTTAGAAGACGTGTGGTACACTCTAAACAGAGTCATTGTGAGATTTCATCACAGCGGCGTCATAGTCTAGGAGGGAGTCCTTGAGTGAATAAGTCCGCCAGTGTTGTAATTCTTGAAGTATAATGAAACTGTTTATTGTCTGAGTGTGGCCCCGCAGAGTAGGTGTGCGCACCGAACTGTGATATCATATTCGTGTCTATTTTGATTTATGCACTTTGTTTTACTTGAATAATTTGAACAGTAAGAAATCCAGATCTTAATTAATTAAGTCATCTTCCAGACAATGTTCCAACATCATCTGGAACATCGGATGTAACATCAGATTTAACATTTACTGTAACTGAGAGAGCATTGAACACAAATAATTCATTGTTTTTGTCACTTGTGTAGAAACTATTGCTTTATGAGTACGTTTAACGTTTGTAGAACATGTTTAATTCATTGATTCGAGTTTTTAATTGGAGTTGAGATGTGATTTTATGTTAGAGCTTTTTACTGTAGTAAAAATATTAGGTATAACTGTTTATGAGAGCTTTTTACTGTAGCAAAACTCAAATTCTAAACTCAAATCGGTGAAATGAACGAGGCCTAACTTATGATCTCATAATCTCTATACAAATATGAAAAGTATTTAAATTCATTTTTAGTCCTCAGATACTAAATCACATTTTGATCTATAACTTTTAAGATGTCGACAAAACGATTCTCAAATCTATCAAGTTGTTCTAAATTAATCTTTATTTCATCAAACTGTTAAAATCTTAATGGGAAAGGGCACCGCTTCCTTCTCAACTGTCATGCCCTTAGGTGTAAAATTATAAATTTAACTCTCACTAACCCGCGCGTGATCCTCAAATGCCTTTCTATTCGAGGGTTTTGCAATTAGATGAACATAAAGATTAATTTTGGACAAATCGATAGATCGAAAACTCATTTTACAACATTTTCAAAAGTAAAAGACTAAAAAAAGATTTGACTTATATAGTTCAGTGAACTAAAAAATAATAATATTAACCCGTACCAAAACCGCCTTGCTACAGTAGTAATTAGTAAAGGATTAAATAATGCATATGATTCAAATTTTTAATATGACTTGATGACAGTGGCGGAGCCACCTTAGGACTGATGGGGCCTTCAATTTATGCTAATTTTTAACTATGATTTATATGTGAAATTTTTAAAAGCATTTCGATTATACCCCAACTTTTAACTTTTGAATATCTCATACTTTAAGCGTAATTTGCTAACTAAGTCAATAATAAATAACATTATTATATAAGTTCACAATTTTTTGGATTCTAGACGTTAAAAAGTCAAGTAAACTCAACTTAAAACTTGATTTCATTTGGAGTAAATTAATATTCAAATAGTTGAAAAAATAATATTTGTACTATTATTTTAGTTTAAAACTTTAATTTTACTCACGCCTGTATTGATAAAATTCTTGACTCAGGCACTGTTTGATGGCGATTTTGAAGTGGCATTAAGAAATTGTTGAGAAGAATCTTCATTTAGGGGACAAATAAAGGTCTTGCAATTATATATGGTCATTAGTTTTAGTTGGTTATACTAAGACCCCGTTCACTTCACCAATTCGAGTTTAGAATTCGAGTTTTGCTACAGTAAAAAGCTCTCACAAACAATCACATCTAACTTTTTTACTACAGTAAAAAACTCTCACATAAAATCACATCTCAACTCGAATTACAAACTCGAATCAGCGAAGTGAACGGACCCTAAGTAATGGGCGTATGTCAATCAAGGACTACATTGGGCCTAAACTTTCATGATACATGGAAAAAGGGGGAAAAAAATGAAAAAAAAAAAAGTTGAGATGCAAAGTCGAAGTGACTCCAAATAGAGGAGAAAAAGTGAAAAACCATTGTATATTGTTAATCTGACGCAGGACATGCTCCATGCAACCGAAAAGGAGAAGACGGTACAGATAGAGGTGCACTAGCAAGTACATCAGGATGGAGTTATTTTCTTTTCTTTTCTTTTCTTTTTATTTAGTTTTTTTTTTTTTCTGAATTACGCAGCTAGCCCACTGATTCTTACGTAACAAGAAGCTTTTATCATTATGTCAACGCACACCCAAAATCATAAAAGCTTCTTCCCATTCCAGCTTTACAGACCATATATAATTTGGACGGTGAATGAATGGAAGAATCTATCTTTTGGATTTTAATCCTTGTTTTGGCACTACCAGACAAGCCCATCTATTAGAATCTTCTGTGTGTGCCAATAATGACACATGAGACTCAAGAGAGTGATATATAGATAAAAATACATAGTTTTTTTTGTACAAACAGACGAGGGTGTATAATTATCTTTTTTTTTTTTTTTTCATGGCCAAATGTAAAAACTAATTTGAAGTTTGATACTGAAATATTTATCTGTTAGTATTTGAATAGTTGTGCTTTCATATTCACATATTCTATTTTTTAAGTAACTAACTTATTAAAAATACCATTTTAAAAAACTCCACTCGTAATTAATTTTGGTTTAAAATGTAGAAATATAAGTTAATGTTAAAAGATAAAAATAAAAAAAGACTATTTTAACAGTTTTTTTTTTTTTTTTTTCTAAATTTACCCATAACTCCCAAAATAAAAACAGCCAGCGCGCATATGAAACTTTTCTTTTTGGCTATATATTTTGTGCAACTTTTTGTTTTTTTAATTTAGGATTGGTCATATCCGAGTCAGAGAGCGAGACCATGACACCCATACCTCCCAGCTCTCATAAACCGCCTCCCTCATTGTCTTCAATCACGAACACTCAACACCATTCTTTTTATTATTTGATTAAAGCCACAACTTTTTTGTAACAAATATATATAACTGAAAGAGGTCCAAAATTTCTTCAACATGACCTATTCTAATCCCATTAAATTAAAAGCCATTAACATGCATTGCTAGCTGTCTCAACACCATATATTTCTTCTCTCTCTCTCTCTCTCTCTCTCTCTCTTAACAATGATGAAATGAAATCAAAGTATACAATTTATATTCATTATCCAAAAAGATAGAAACGATACAGTTATATTGTGGATTAAGCAGTACATTTCTTTTTTTTTTTTTCTTTTTTCCCCCTCTCTCTCTCTCTCTCTCTTAACAGTGATGAAATGAAATCAAAGTATACAATTTATATTCGTTATCTAAAAAGATAGAAACGATACAATTATATTGTGGATTAAGCAGTACCTTTCTTTTTTTTCTTTGTGGATTAAGCAGTACATTTCTTTTTTTTTTTTCTTTTTTCCCCCTCTCTCTCTCTCTCTCAACAATGATGACATGAAATCACTCTCTCTCTCTTAACAATGATAAAATGAAATTAAAGTATACAATTTATATTCGTTATCCAAAAATATAGAAACGATATAGTTATATTGTGGATTAAGCATATAGACGTGATTAGGAACATTATAGTGCGTGTCAAACCATGCTCACATGAGAAGGAAGTGTTTAGTGTGATAGACAAATCATGGTGGGTAGGCATATTGGGTGTAATAACTCTCAAGTTTCAATCATTTCTTAGCCAATTAAATTTTAAATTACAGCTAATGATTGGCATATTCTGGCAATTAGATTCGGTCGTTAATTGCCATTATTACAATCTGAAAATTAAAAGATCTAGAGCATATAATGAAATGGTCGTCACTCATTTTATTTCATTTCACTTGGATTAGATGGGCAACCTCCACATCTACCCCTTATATTCCTTATAATTTTACTCGTCCCCTGTTGTCAGAGCCAGTAATACTCTAACACAAGTCTTCTTTTAAAATTATACCCAAGAAACGTCCATTTTCTGGGATTACCTTTGAAATGTGAAAAACTGAATTTACAACAACCCAAATCTTCTGTCTTCGCAACTTAATTGTTTAAACTACTCAAAATGGAATAACTGGACATAATATTTACTTTCTACGCGTATAATAATCATCTTTATATTGATTCATATTCCACGAATTAATTATTTGATATGGGACCGTCTCTTTACTCATTGCAGTCTGCAGAAGGGAATCCTTTGGTTTGTGTTTACCACGTCGTTTTCATGCACAAAAATATGATTAAAATGTAAAAACATAAAACATAAATAAAAATCAGCTTGACCTCAGTTTTCTGTACCAACAGATACGCAAATCGTTAGATACAGATGGAACAATTGAAGTTTTTAAGTATTGACAAGGCTATAAATTTGTGTGTTTAAATCTAGAAAAGATCTTTGCAATCCATTCTCAACATGCATGGGAGAAATATGTCAGATGTGGGTCATATTAGGAAAGGTAAACCAAACCAAGATTCGTTAGTTCATTACTTCACTTAAACGTAGTTCATCACACAAGGGAAAAGAAAAACAAATATTGCCTACACATGGTCTCAAAAGTGTAAAAGGAATTAACAACAGCCTATTAAAAACAAAAAGATACATGTTTTGGAATAGTTTTGATTAACAGGGTTGAAGCATGTTAAACTGCCGGATTATACGGGAAAAATAAGTGACACCCTTTTTCTGTATTCTTCTAAACAAACTACTCCACAGCTCACATGGGAGTTGGACGGAAGTGAGAATCATTCACCAACCTGAAACCCCATCTTCTCCCACCTCGTCTCTCTCAAACTTATAATAAAAGGCTTTTCATTATTCAAATGGTTTCTGAAAAACCTCTTATGTAATTTTTTTTTTTTTTAAATAAAAAAGAATTTTTGTAGGAAAGAATAGAGACCGACTATTGGTTGTTTCTGATAGAAGTCCCATACCTGCTTATGATGGCCCTGGAAAGTAGAGATGATCATGATTCCACCTATACATAGATCTGTCTTAGTGTATGCATAAATATATCTATACGTACGTACGTACATACATACATACATATATTATATATTATATATATGTATATATACATCTTAATCATATCAGCCGCCCATCCATGAAAAAATGTAACCGCGAGACCAATAAGAGGAGGTACATGGGGGTGCAAATGGAATGTACTTTGGGAACCCCGAATCACTCGCAAGAATGATTGACAAAAAACTCAAGACTAGGTGTCCTCCACTTTTCATATGTGTGTGTGTAATATATATTAAAGAAATTAGAATTGCTGAATTTCATTTACTATCCAAAAATGTATGTGGGTTATGGACATCTGTCAAATCTAGTTGCAGCGCAACAAAAAAATGAAAAATCTGAGCCCCAGAGAGATTTCCTTTCCACATCATCCAGACAGATTAATCTTCCAGCTGAGACTTTCGCAACATTCCATTAAACCAAATACTAAATTGGGCCATGGCCATTGATTGGACCCAACACACATGGAAGTAACTGTGAAGCAGATTGACATAGAATTAGAAAGAGCACTACTAATCGCTAATGGACTTTAATGAATTCTACAAACACTAGATATAGAATTTAGTAATTGCAGGGAACATTCTGATGAACAGGAAGGTAAACTAGAAGTTTTATTGCAATCAAAAACTATATTTTTCGAAAGAGTTTAATAGACCAATTGATTATAGTCAGAACCAAGATCTAATCACATGCTCATTCTGTTACATGATGCCTCAACTATGTACCAGATAAACGCCTCACGGAACAAGTAATTGGCTACTTCAAAAGCAAAATATGACGCTAAAGGCAATTGAATTTACCCGAGAACAACAAAATTGCAATAAGGATCTTGACATGGCCTTCAAGACTCCGCTTTTGGTCTCTTTTCTTTCTTCGACTTTTTTATTCTATGGTCGCTGTTAAAGGATAATGCCTCACCACTTACAGTACCGTGATCTTGTAGAATGGATTCCTCTTCATTTTCTCTCCTTTTCTTTTTACTCCTACAAGAGTTTTTAAATCATTTATGGTCACCAACGTAATATTTTCCTTTACCATTTATTCCTTCAACCCAATAAGTTTAAAAGCTAAAAAGTTGAGGTTGACACCTGCCAGTTATAGTGTCATCGTCCAAATGTTTTGCTAACCAACGAATGCATCCGGTGTGAGCTGGAATTAGAGAACCAGAAATATGCAGTATTTCCTCATCCAAACTGCAAAGTTACATGAATATGAGATCGCTATATTCACGGATGTTTTCGTTGTTTTCCAACATCAATTTAATTAAATAGGAAAATCAACAAAAAACATGGCTTGTTAATGAGTGATTCTAATTCGTAAATCTATGAGAACTTGAAATAATTCCTCACCTCTTAACTAAAAAGCGTATCATAGTTCCGACCTTTATCGTATGGTGCTTGTGAAATTTGCTAGAAAATACTTCCTCTTCATGTTTCTATAAAAGGATGCACGCTATAGAATCAAAATTGACATGGAAAGAAGATACGACTCTTAAATCGTGATCGTGAATAGATACTTACAATTTTATACACAAATTCATCACGAATTTCCTCTTCTGTTATAACAGCAGATGCAAAGCCAAGAACAATGACATGAATTGATCCTTGAGTAACTTTTACAACCCTCCCCTCTGGTATAATAGCAATAATAATGCAATCTCAGCAGGGGCAATACAACAAAGAACTGTGCAAAACTTGTGCAGAAATTTATGTGGAGAAAAAATCGATCTGTACAAACAAATTCCATCAGAATTACTATCTATACAAAGGGAACTAACAAAAGTTACCTAAAAGCATATCTGGTTTCGGAGAAAAAAGCAACAACTTTGCTTTTATTCTCACGCCGATATAAGGGTGAATCCCGCTTAGAATCTTCGCACTCTTATCAAGAATGTCGAATTCATAAGCTAACACGACGCCATCAAAATTCTCATCAAACCTGTGATAGCCACCAGAACAAGATTAATCAAATCAATACATCAACAATAGAACAGCAAGTCTGACTTAACAATAATCATCATAGAAAAATATGATTTTAAGAATAAAATCTAACATTGACGCATTAGGAGCTACAAAAGAGACCCATTAATCAATAAGCCTAATTCTACAAAAGAAATTCACTCCTACACTCTAAAGCTTCCCATTTAGTTTCTCTTGTTTTCTGTAAACCGAAACAGGGAATAATTGAACCAAGCGAAAATCAATGCAAAACAACGCGAAGTAATTTGACCTAAAAACATAGACGCACATCCAAAAATCTTGTCTTCAGCAGTTGTTTACACAAATTTGACCTGAAAAAACCCAAATTAATCCAAACAAGAAACAGTACTACGAAATTATGAATTATAATGCCTAGATGTATACACACACACACACACACACACATATATATATATATATATATAATTCATATTAAGACCTAAAACTAAGAATTAAAAAAAGAAAAAAAAATCGAGACTGGGGGAAAAAAAAAAGAATACTTGAAAAGCAAGGAGCTGAGCTCGCGAAGAACCGCATCGTAAATCTTGGTGCTCTTAGACGGGTGTACGTAGACCACCATTTTCGCCTCAGAAACTTTCAGACATTCCATTATTCTCCACCAAAGATCGGAGCTTTTCTTCTTGTCTACAGAAAACACCTAAACCCTGCAAAACCCTAAATTGTCTCTCTGCTCTCTACTTTTGCTCGGCCGTTAGGACCTTTTAGGCGTTAGGCTTTCTCTTGTGACTCCTGTATAGAGCTAGGCCCGTAAAACGGGCTTATGGATCAGAAAAGGCGGACATTCTTGTTGAAGTCCAAAACTCCTAGGAGCTCACGGGCCCTCAATTAGGCCCGCTAAAGAGTAGTTGGGCCGCTTTTAGGTGTGGGAAAGTTACACGATAGCAAATATTTTGAATGACAGTTTGATTTTACCATGAAAATGATGTATAATTCCACTCCTAATTATAACTATGTCATTCAAGGTAATTTCTATTTCTTTTGGTAAATGTGGTATAGATATAAAGGTATATGCCTTTTCTGAAATTTTAAGATTTTTCATCACACTTTTTCTTTTTATATATTAATTTTAAGAGGTATAATTTAAAAGAATAATACTAATTACACCAACTCAAATTCTAATTTTTGTGTATTAACTAATTTGGCATGTAAGTTATCACTTTTTTATTGGTGGATGTTTAAAATATTATCATGTCAATTAATGATAAGAGATTACATCTACCAATAAAAAATGACAACTCACATGTCACATCAATTGATACACAAAAGTTAAAATTTGAATTGGAATCCCTATCACTTTTCAATTTAAAAAGAAAAGACAGAGAACTAAAAAAGATGAGTTAAGAGTGATACATTATCTATTTTTCTCTTATTTTGTCCTTGTTCCTGATTAAATGTTTTATTCAATTATTTGCTAGGTTATTTAATGTTCCTCACAAGGAAGAACACGAATAATATGTTTGGAATTTGGATATATATCGATGGCCTAAAATGTGGCAAACTGTGGTGCTATGGCATTTAAAAAATGTGTTCGAGTTTGTTGCACTGTTTGATCGTAGATTCATAATTCATTGGTATTAAAGGCTCTATTAAATTTATTGCGGCCTGCAAAAACGCTCAATCGAATTTTATCATTTATATTATTGTGGGGCAAAAACACTATCCTTTTACAAGCAATCTCCTCTTTTTATTTTGCATTGATAATTTGCTTAAATATTTTGACCTTTAAAAACTATCCATTATATTTTTAAATTCAATGCCTTGTGTAATTATAAAACAAGGCGAATGGGGGACAAAATTAAAGTCCATCATTAATAAATCTTACTTGTTACTGCTGCTATTTAACTAGTTTTAGAGGTAGGCCCAAGCACCCAATTTAAATTATTACAAAAAGTTCGCTAATTAAATTGACCAGTGCCATTAAGATATAGGAGTTCGATGAATTTAACTAGTACAAGGACCAAAATTCTTAAATTGTTTTTCTTAATTCTTTTCTAAAAAGAAAATCTGCTATAGGTATTTCTATTATTAATAGTTAATACATGTTTCTAAATGATAGACAATTAAAATCACATCATTTTTTTTTTTCAAAAAATAATATACACAAAACAAACAAAATCTAATATATATATATATCTAACTATTCGAAACAAAACCTTACTTGATAGGGTTTATTTTTCATTCCTTTTTTATTGCAAGGTGAATCTTTTCTTATCATATATTCCATCTGGTAAGTGCTCCGATGCTTACTATAATGTAACAAGAAAAAAAAAAAAAAAAAAAAAAAAAAAAAAAAAAAAAGAAAAAACTAAGCATGTCTTTATGCAGATAATTATGTCGTTGTATAAACCTTTCTTTACAAAGGAGGAAAAGATAAAACTTGATAGTGTTCTCTTTTAGCTAGCCTTTCACAGCTGTATTGCTCAAATTAGTGGAGTTGTTGTGGCTATAGTCCTAGAAGGAGGGTCCTAACTTCCAAGAGCTAAATAAATTAAGGATTTAACAACAACAATAAAGTAAAGATCTGTGTTGTACTTAAGTTTCTCCAAACATTAAATAAGCAGATGCGTGCATTATGCAAATAAATGGCAACATCAAAATGCAATGTCAATGACGTCCAAGCAGAGTATTATTATTATTATTATTATTTTCCTTTCCATAAACCTTCAAGTAGGTTCTGACTTCATTAAATTTGACCTTCGTCTCTATTTCACCGATGCGCTTGTCGTTATCACCAAAGATTACATGAAAATTACAAGATATGGGCAGAAACCAATTAGATAGTGATAACATGCGTAAAGCCTAACAACTAGTGACTTTCAAGACGTCATTTAAGCAAAGAAATGAACAAAGTTCCGTATATAGCCGCGGATTAAATTAGACGGATGAGTATTGAGTAATATCAAACCTTTCAAAAGACAAAAGGTGACGACATTAGAGTAGTATTGGACAGCTCAATGGCAGTCAACGGATATAATTGGATTTGAGAGCTAAAGAGTACTCGTAGATGATGGATATTATAGCATGCTTCAATCGTTTTTTTATTTATTTTATTTTTTTATTATTATTATTGTTTATGGTTAGGCCATTGAAAGCATTTTCAATGATGCAATCTATTACTCGAAGAAAGTATACAAGTGCGCAAGGCATTTGCATGCTCATCAGTCAAACTTTAATTTTTGCGGCTAACCCTTCTCTCTTTCTTTTACCAATTTTTCTCTCTAGCGTAAATTATTGAAATAAAGAGTGCCATACAACAATACTACGACATATGAAAAAAGGATTGGTATTTTTGTTCAATTTTTAGTGTTTCTTATAGTATCTAATTATGCATATTTAATAGACTCAAATAAATAAATATGTAAAAATTAATTAAAAACATTTTAATTTTTTTGAATAATGCGACATGTTTTGATTGATTAAGCATCATTGAGAAAACATAAGTCATATGTTTCTATTGCAAGAATCATACGGAGACTATTGTCAATATTACGCGGGTATGTGGGAGTGCTGCCTAGTGAGAGTCTTATCGTTTGTTGGATTTGAGGTTTTGGGACCGAAGCTCTAGCTGTATTTAGAGGTCTGTATAGATCGGTTTAATATTTTTAGATCTTATTCATTTTACCAATTTAAGTTTGAGTTTTGCTACAGTAAAAAGCTCTCAGAAACAGTCACATCTAACTTTTTTACTACATTAAAAAGCTCTCACATAAAATCATATCTCAACTCGAATTAAAAACTCATATCAACGAACTAAATGAGCCCTTATTGATGTTTCTTTATCTAAAATTTAAAGAAATTGTAACGAAGCAGTGCATGTAGCAGCTATTTAGATTAGTATTGTGTTTAGCCACAACTAATTTGACTCAAAGGAGGTTGCGTCCAATGTGATAACCATTAGTTCTGATTCAAAAGAGTTTATGGATGTTTCTATGAGCCCAAAAAAAAAAAACACTATTTGAGACTAAATTGGACAGAAAAACTAAGGCCCTGTTCGTTTGCCCCAACTTACTCAAGAAAGGCCCACTTGAGTGCTGAAATTGGCCCAAGTTCACGTTCGGTGTTTGAGAACTTGAATTCGAACTCGAAAATTAATTCGAGTTACCAACCCATTTCTGAGTTGCACTCTCCCCTGCTATTCGAGTTACTTCTCTGCACTTCTACAGTGCAGATTCTGAGATCTGCTTCTTTCTACACTGTCGTTTCACGTGGTTCTCCTGCAATCGATATTCTCCAGAATTCACTGTGAAATCGTTCAACCAACAGACTCCACGATCTGCTCCTTCAACATTATACCATTCCATTTCTGAGAGCTGTGCGTTATTGAATCACTATTTTCCCCCAATCTCAGATTTCAACCCTAGCCCACAATTTCGGTTCCCATCTGCATCTTTTGTGTCCCCCTTCCCCCACCATTGTCATCGTTCTTGTTTCCCCTTCAAAATGGGGAAATTTGTAGGGAATCCGTTGGTGCGGCGACCTCGGTGGGTGAACATCATACTTCGATGTAGAGGCAACAGTGCGCGCCGTAAAACTCTCCAGCCGAGACGTCAAACCTACTTCCCCTACCTCTGTCGTCGCCGGTACCTCAGACTTGCTAACGCTTCCTCGCGTTTGGGGAATCTCCAAGGGAACCAAATCTCCTCCTCCATAAGCTCCAATTCGGTAAGTATTTCTCAAAGGCTTATGTTCAGTTTATGGAAAAACTCATTTCAGTTTCGGATGATTTTTCGGTCTCTAGTTTGCATTCCGAGCACTAGTATTTTGGTGAATTCATTCTGTTCTCTGAAAACAAACATTGCCATTTCTGGTTTTTCTTTGGTGATTTCAGCCTCTAGACTTCATTGGAGCACTAGTATTTACCCCTGTTTGTTCAGTTTCTGGAAAAAAAACGGAAACTGTTTCTGGTGATTTCACAGTTTTCGCATTCGTAGAACTAGTATTTTGGTGAATTCACATGGTTTCTGGTGATTTTTTTAGTGATTTCAGCCTCTAGACACTCGGCTCACTAGTATTTGGGAACCATTTTTTGTTCAGTTTCTGGAAAAAGACCAGAAACTATTTATGGTGACTCCTGCCCCCATCTGCATCTAGTCGTATGAGTAGTTTTATTTAGTTTCTGTTGTAGTTTGTACTTTGTATTGATAGGATTATTGATCATCAATCGTTGTGAAGTTTATGTTGATACCTGCAGTGTTTTTATTGCTCATGTGTCTATTTGGAACCCCTGCTGTGCAGTTTCTGGAAAAAACTAGAAACTGTTTCTGGTTTTTTCAGTTTCTAGATTGCATTTCACCATGGCTATGACGATGTAATTGTATTTAATGGCATAGTTCATTATGTCGAGTGATATTCGATGGTTGGTTAATAATTGGTTGCCGGTTGATCCCATTAGTCTTAGTTGGTATGGTTGATTTAATTCACTTTGAATGCCTTGCTTGAGCATTCTGTCGACGTTAGCTAATACTTCGGTAGCATATTGGTTGCCGGTTTATGCATAACCTCATGGCATAATGTTCGTTGGCTTCGGGTTTAAAGTGTATTGCCAACCTACCACTAAGATTAATTGAACATAACCCTTGGTAGCCTAATTGCCCTAGCCTAGGATAATGCTCCATAATAGGACGATGAGGGCCATTACACAAATCTGAGCCTCCTTCCAACATC